ACTCTCTACTTAGGTAACTGCACAGTCAAAGCTAGATGTGGTAGTGGTACACACATGTAATCCACCCTCTGGGAAGCTGAGGCAGGAGGACTACAAGTTCAAGCCCAACCTGAGAAAATTAGTGAGACCTAGTCTCAAAATAAAAAATAAAAAAGCAATAAGGAGTACCTCAGTCCAAAGACTTTGAGTTTATTCCCAGTACTGCAGAGAAAACACTTCTGAATGATTTGATTGAATTTATTATGTGTGAATATTTTAGGGGAAGTTAGTAAAGAAAATTAATGAAGAACCCAGATGAAGGAAATACATTTGGGGTCATGACACCTCCTCCCAGTCAAAATGTATCAGCCTAGTAGATCTTAGGCCAGGGCAGCTTCCAAGGAAAGAAGGCATTCCTTCTACAGCCTAGCCTATGAGTGGAAAAAGGAACTGGGAATACTTGTCTTTAATTGCAATTGCTACTACAGATTTGCTCTGGAAGACAGTTTGTAGGCAGATGTGCCCTGAAGTCACTTAGCCAAGCTTTTATCAAGTAGTTGCAGTTTCTTTTTGGATCTTGGTTCTATGCCCCATGCAGGAAGCTGCAATATTGACTATACCCAAAGCAGGCTGTAAGCAGTATAGTCAGTAAAGAGTTAACTCCACAATTGGCTTGTTTATAAAAGTGAGTCCAGCTGAACCCTACCTGCTGAGGTCAGAGTAACTTGCACCCAAATTCTGTTCCCACGATTGAAACCTTCTTACTAGAAGGACAATGTTCTAATTACAACTGTGTGTTTTGTCTATTTTGTTCCTAATTTGAAAATGCTTTGCCTTATCTTTTACGAGCCTTGCTTACGTTTCCATAGAAACTGCACGACTACACATCCTAGCACATAGTTCTGTCCTTGCACATAGTTTGCCTTTACCCCAATTGATTACCAATAAAAATCAATGGCTTGGACCGGCCAGCACCTTTGTCAGTTGTACTGGCATTGGTCATCCTGGTATTCTACTTTCTGTCTCTTAATTCTGTCTTTTAGTTTTTTATTCTCAGTCCTGCATCATAAACTGGGCAGGAGAGTAGAGTCTATTGCAAAGGTTTCCCATAATGTTTCAGGGGTTTCCAGTACCTCCCCGCACAACTCAAAGTTTCTCTTAGTGTTACTCTACAGTACAAACAAACAGAACAATTCATACCAGGACCTAAACTTGAGGAGAAAAGGAAAGCTATTGTAACTGAGGGACTGGAGCATGGAGATTGCAAAAGTAAAACAAAATGCTCAGAAACAGAACTACTCTCAGTTTCACCTTCCTGTGGGTGAAACTCCAAGTATAAAGAAAAAAATCCAAACAACAAGAACAACAACAAAAAAAGAGCTGTGGTGGAAGAAAAACAGTCTTCAACTAATAGGCTGTCAATTGTCAAAGTTTCCTTTCATGTGGATGCCCAATATTCCTGTGGAAAAATCCGTGATATGCCCTAGAAAGAAGAAATCACACATTTCTTTTTTATTTCAATTTATTGCTGTCAACAACTCCCCAAGACAACATAAATGTTAGTTATAAATAGATGCTAAGGAATATTACATTAGGGTAATGATTTCAGAGGAATGGAGGGGAAAAATCTAGCATGAGCAACACAAAGGCATTTGGAAGTAGTATTTCTCACTGACAATCCAGTAAAGTCAAATGTATTGCAACAGACAGTATATAAATCAAATCCTGGCATGGCACAGTATGGGAGACTATTTCAATTAATCGAGTAGAAGTTTGTGAATAGTTAGAATCTAACATTAATGAACATATTCATTAATTGAATTCTGTACAATAAAGTGATTCTTTCATGTCCTAGCTGACAACCCAAACTACCTTAATGCTCTTTGATACTTCTTTGAAGTTGTGGACATGATAGAGTCCATTGAATGAAAAGCAATGTATGACAAAAGATTCATAATTCCTTGTTGAATAGTCAACATATTTAACAGGATAATGTATCACGTCTAAAAGATTAGCACCAGTAGTTTAACTCCTGTGAAATGTCGACTATTTTAACTAAAATTTGACACGGTTCAAAATATTTGGGATATCATTCACTGATTCTTTTAAAAAATGATACTTCCTGGTAAGCAGCAGCTTAGAGGAGAAAGAGCACTGGACCTGGAGTCAGATGCAATGCAGGTTGTTTACTCTAAGTGTTCTCTAATATCTTTTCCAGATTTAATGTGCTATTATCTTTTACTACTTGAGAGTTTGATTGTTTGAGGTAAGTTTGTTTGTTTGCTTGTTTGATTTTTGAGATGGGGTCTCACTGCATAGTTCAGACTGGCCTTGAACTCACTATGTGGCCCAGGCTGGACTCAAACTCACAGCGATCCTCCTGCCTCAGCCTCCCAAGTACTGAGATTACAGGCATGAACCACCATGTCCGGCTGTTGGAGGTAATTTTTAAATAACTTAAGTTACTCTTTTTCAATTTTAAAGGTTAGTTTTGATAATTGAATTTGTTAAGGAAATGGGTTGGGAAGAGACAGTTTCATTTAAAATTTTTTTTTCAGACACCTGCTATTGTGTTATCTTCTGTTACTTGTTAATATCAATCAGGCTGCTTCTACTCTGTCAATAAAACTTAAAAGATATCTGAGAATGAAATTCCAAAGAGCAACAGCAGTCCTTTCTGCCACAAAGCCAAGAGAAAAATACTATGGCAGGGTCTACACTGGTGTAGAGTGTTTACATAACTAGTTCAAATTCCCAAGGTTAAATAGTTTAGAATTTTTGATGTATTTACTTAACCAAATGTTGCTTTTGTTCTCAGCTTTCCTTTTCTTTGACTCAACACGAATTTCCATTTCCATATCAATATCTGATCAGTAGGAACCACAAGCCTAAAATGTCCCAAAGTGATTTCAACAACATCCTCTTCAAATCTGTTTACCTCTTACACTCAGTCTTTATCAACACTATTATCATCTCGCTGATTTTAACCAAACTCAAAAATCTCAGGTCACAAGGGGCTGGGGATTTAGCTCAGCGGTTTGGTGGCCTGCCTTGCAAGTGCAAGGACCAGAGTTCAATCCCTGGTACCAAAAAAGAAAAAAAAAATCTTAGGTCATTTTTGGGGAGGGTACTGGGGATCGAACTCAGGTCCTTGTGCTTGCAAAGCAGGTGGCGGAAACACTGAGCCAAATCCCAGCCCTCGGGTCATTTTTTTAACTTTCTTCTTCCTATTCTTCAGTCTTGTCCCTCACCAGTTCACCTTTCACATTACGATTGTTAAAATATTCTTTCTAAAATTCAAATGTGATCACAGATATTCCCTGATTAAAATGTTTTAAAGGTACTTTTTCACCTACTGAATAAAATCCAACGTCTGGACTCCTCTGTAGCCCAATTTCCTCACACTTCCTGCCATTCCTCTGAACTCTTTACAGTCCAGTTACATGAACTGCTCGAAGTTACTAAAACCCATGCTGGCCTTTGCATGATTGTAGCTTTGCATGTGAAACTCTGAATCCAGGTATGGCGGTGCAGGCCTGTAAATACAGCACTCTGGAAGGCTGAGGCAGGAGGATTGCAAATTTGAGCCCAGCCCAGGCAATTTAGCAGTTAGTGAGACACTACCTCATAATAAAAAATAAAAAGGGGGCTGGAGATGTAGCTTAGTGTGAAGGCCCAGATTGAATCTCCAGTACCACAAAAAGAAATAAAACTCCTCTCTCACCTTCTCAGCTGAAGATAGCTATGTTTCCTTATGTTCCACATATCAGTTTTAAAACTCTTGCTACACCGTATTGTAGTTACTTCTCTACTCATTTGTCTTCACTACTAGACTGCCTGTTCCCTAGTTGGAAGTGAGAACTGTAGAGGAGGTTCAGATGCTGGGTGCTTCTAACTGTCATGAAAGCTTGCTTTGGACCCCGAGACACCAATTTATTCACCATGCTGGCTTTTTCTCTTTATCCCAGCCCTCCCCCTGATGGAGGTATTAAGTAGCAATGGAATGGTCACAAAGCCAAAGATAAGACAAAGGGACTTGGCTGATCCACAACCTGGACAAACATCTGCCTCGTGTCATTTTTAAATTAATGCAAAACTGGCTAATGAGCTTTGGCTTCAAGATGGCTTGGAAGGAGTGCTCTGTCTTGCCAAGTATTAATTGGAAGAACCTGATTTCAATTCTCAAGGCTGTAGCTGGGATTTCAACATATCTATTCCTGATGGTCTCAAGAAAATTACACCACTGCAAACAAACAAACAAACAAGCAAAAAACCCAAGAAGAATTAGCCAATGGAGGTCTTCCATGTTTTCTCCTCCACCTGAAGCTCAGACAAACATATCCGCAGGAATGTTTGGCTTTGGATGATTGTGCCATAGAGCAAGGAAGGGATCAACATTCCATATGTTGTGTTCTTCCCAATAGCAATGAGCCCCATCTTCCCAAAACAGCCACACAGAAGGTCTTCATCTCTATTCCAGAACAATATCCAGTTAACACTGCTTTCTATCCCAGCTGAAGATAACCTAATCTCTGAATCAGTATTAAGTTGCCTGCAAATGGCAGCCAGTTTTTCTAGCACTCTGGCATATACATTGCCATTGGTACGGTGGCCCAATGGTGTTATCTACGTTGGTCTGAGTGATGATTCCCAAGGAAAGATCTTGCCAAGCAGATGTAAAAAGGAAGCGGGGAGGGTTAGATTGTCAGGTTGGTTGGGAGGAATTTTATCTGTCAAACAAAACTTTAGAAAACATGATGAATTTACAAGCATGATCGACATTCTCCTGACCATGGCTATTGTGAATTTTATCAGTTTATATTACAGTGAGATTTTTAATAGCAAGAATGACTTTTAATTTTAAGTGACAGGAAAAGGAATTAATATTATCTGTCACCAGGAGAGGCTACCTTTAAAAAACTCAAATAGCTCTCACAATATCACTTCTTACACATGTCAAAGGTGAGGAAAGATGATCTGTTGTCTTAAGTGTCCATTTGACTGTGTCTTAAATGAAGAAAAAGAATTCAGGCGCTACCAGGGATAACATAAGATAAAACAGAAACAGAACTGGTAGGAGTGGTCTCTTGAAGTTCTTAGGTTTCTATATTCAAGGTGAAGATTACCCTACCCACAAAATGATCATTAATGACATCATTTATGATGCCTTTGCCTTTTAGTTGGCACTTTACAGGCACTGCTTGGTTCTTCACTACATCTGTAAAGTGCATTGCCACCAGAGGGGAAGTATAGTTAACCTGTAGATGAAAGAACAATAAATCTAAGTAGAGGGAGGTGGTAGGAGGGAAATTTATTCAGTGCAGGTGGGCTAACCTCCACAAAGGGAAGCAAGTACATCTCATGATGCCAAATCATAAATGGCCACAGCAACCTGACACGTTTTCCCTGCCTAGGGAAAGTATGAGGGAATTACATGTTTCTCTCATAAGTCACTGTCAGATGTCTGATTTTCCTCTGGGGGAAACCAATACTGCCTCAGAATGATTTGATTTTCTGGATATCAGACCATGAATCATATCAGAACTAGTTTCTATCAAGTTCATATGCTGGAGATGAGGCCTTCACCATCCCAAGGCTTCAAATGGGAGCAACACGGAAGTGTGATTATTTGAGCATGATTAAACATAAATGATAGTAATTTATCTGCTTCTGTCTCTGCCACTAATTAACTATGTGGCTTTGGTAAACTCGCTTTTCCTCTGTAAACCCCAATTTCTCATCTGTAAACTGAGGGGAAGTTAGACTCGACTATGGACAAGATTCTTTCAAATATGAAAAGCCATGTAGATATAATAGGAATTTGTAGAGGAAGCCCCAGGTTATGGCCATTATCTATTCATCCACCAGTTACTACCTGCTGCTTTCTTATTCTTAAAAATCCCAGGTAGTCTTTCCTTTGAGTCTGAGCCCTTTTGGACATCAAAGAAGGAAGAGGATATAGCTTACGTGAGTCAGTTTGCCATAGTAAGGGTAGTAGCGGAGGTCAAAAGAAGCCGACTCTGGGTAATAATTGATGGATCGGATGTCATTTTCATCACCTTTCTGTAAGTAAAAGCAGGTATATGTAGGATGATGGGTCATAAAGTGTGTTGGAGTCTGGACTAAAGGACTTGTGCCCCAGGTGAAGTCTTTGTGTGATTCTCAATCAACTGTCCCAGGAAGACCACAAAAAAGCAGAATGTGGCAGAGGTCAGCCCTGACTGATTATCCATAGAGGAGCATTTCCTTGGCTTTTCAGTTCACAGAATGCTGAAATAGAAGGCCTGGGCTGAGGAGGTGAATAGCACCCTATGGCTCTGTTCTGGCTCTTACAGGACCCAGACAGAAAGGTTCAAAGGGCTTGCAGTATCTGGGGCTGCTTTAGAAAGAAGGTCTACCCTTCTAGCTCTTCTCCAAAGAATTGTACTGGGCCTGATACCCAGTCTTAGACTCTGGAGCTGAGGAAGGTATAATTAAATCCCACTTCATAATTTGCACACTGCAAGCATGGTTCTGTTGGAAGGCAGATCATATACACAGGAACCTAATGTTTGGGCACACAACCTACAGTTGGGTCACCTCAACTTATGCCTCTGACTACTTTCTCAGTAATGTTTAATTATAGTAGTTGGAGTCAGGAGGACAAGCAAGAGGGACTTGGGTAATGGAAATGATTAAACAGGGCTACTCTTATCACCTCATGTCAGGTAGGGGACTGCCCATTTTGCTGATGCATTAGCCTTACCCTAAATAGCGCAAACCTAATGTGAACAAACAGTGCATCGCTCCTAGGGAATTATGCACTAGGGCCATGTGATCACTTCTGTCAATATACTGCACAGCATACAGTAGGTGTATATTGTACTGTACCATACATATGTACATATATAGACTATAATTGTTCTTGGTATAAACTGAGCTCTCCATAATTTATTCTAGTCATTACCTCATCCTGCTTGATTTTCATGAGTGGGTGTGGATTTTATGAGTATTATTCCTTATAGAATGTGTAAAGACTCAATATTTCCTTTTTTTTAAAAAGGATAGTTCTCACCAAGGTACAGCTTCCTTTTGAAAACTACAAGCGGAACTTTATCCATTAATAAACTAGTTTAAAACCTGGGGAGAGGGAAAACGGGAGAGGGGGGAGTTTAGCTCAGTGTACAGCATTCGCTCAGCATATGCAAGGCCCTTTGTTCAATCTCCAGCACAGGATTGGGGAGCTGGTCTAAGGCTGAGTTGGACTTTATGATTTATTTATATATTCTCCTAAAAACCAATGAGATTTATTTTTCATGAATGGCTTATGGAATCAGTCTCACTAGTTGGTAAGTCACATTTCAAGTGAGTAACTATTTACACACACAAACACTATATGCGAATAAATAGAATGAATGCCCTTCCACCTCATAAACCTGGCAAATATTGCCTGAGCTTTCTACGCTCAGCTTCAGAATCACCATCTCCTGCAAGGAACTGACCTTTCTGTAATGCTTCCACATTTCAGAGACAGTCATATTTCTTTCAGCACCCCAACACCTAGCAAAGGGTGCGATATTTATTTAATAAGTGATTAATAAGTCTTTGTTCAGTGGAAGACACTAGCTGAATAAATGCTACCTTTCGCTGTTTTCTGATCTGCCACCACAAAGCCTGGAGTTTTGAGCTTGCTTTCTAGTACTGTCCTGAGAATGGGATTGCCTGGCCTAGCCTATTTACAAGACAACAGTTCAGTTCTGGGGAGTGCAGTTGATGTTGGGGAACAGGGCTTTTTCCTACAAAGGAGCTAATGGTGCAGATGAGATAGGAGTTAATGATCCAGTTAATTAGCATATTAATGGAGTTCTGTTTATGCTTCCCTTGTAGTCATTTGTTATTGCAACACCCAGTGCTACTGGTCATTGCAGTAAAATGTGAAATTCGGTTTTAAAATCAGGGACTAATGATGCTAATGAAATCTTTTTGTTTAGTTCAAAGTAACGAGTAATTAGAGCTAAAACCAAAAGTGTAAACAGAATGTCTATTACTGACTTGGCACATCATTGTTCTCTCTTGTAGCCCCTGGCTGAGGTTCAGTCTTTGGCTTTCACAGGTATAAATCACCACACATGCGAGCGCGTGTGTGTGTGTGTGTGTGTGTGTGTATGTGTGTGTGTTCTGGAAATTGGAAATTCTGAAGGCACTAAGGGCAAGTATAGTTATGAAAAAAAGATTACCACTTCTCTAACCTACAGTCCTTGGAAGGAATGAACTACCTTTTTACAGGAAACAGAAGTAGTAACAATGCTTACTCAAAAGGACACTTTACCTGAACTTTGCAGGAAACCTTCACGGGATCTCCAAGCTCAGGACGAAAGCCTACAATCTGGCAAAAGAAAACCAGTATTTCTTTTTAAACAGATTTGACAGTCAGAGTAAGAATTTTTTTTACTTTCCCAACCCTGTGAATTATCTTTCTTCAGGCATAGATTTCATTTACTTTGCCCTCCCAGGAATGTTACAAACAAGCCAGGTCTGGTGACACACACCTGCCACCCCAACTACTCAGGACACTAAGGCAGGGGGATCACAACTTCAAGGAGAGCCTGAACAATTTAGTGAGACTCTGTCTTAGAGCAAAATTTAAAAGGACTAGGGCTGTAACTTAGTGTTAGAGTGCTTGCCTAGTGTTAGTCTAGCATGAGGAAGGCCCTAGGCCTTCTCCAGCACTCCTAAACAAATAAATAAAAAGAAAGAAAGAAATGTTACGAACAGCAAAAAATACAACTCCTGAGTTGTACAGCTGAACTTATTCCTTGTATTTATGCTTGACATTTATGCAAAGGGAAAACAGTAGCAAGATAACCATAAAGATATAAAGAACTTTTGGGTAAGGCTCTGTCACACCTAAACCATGAAAGGAGAGAAGGAAAATGCTCTCTTCCCTTCCCTTCCCTTCCCTTCCCTCGCTCCTCCTCCTCCTCCTCCTCCTTCTTCTTCTTCTTCTCTCTCTCTCTCTCTCTTTCTCTCTCTCACTGTTTCATACTAAGAGTTCAACCACTGAGCTACCCCCCAGTCCATTTTATTTTTTACTTTGAGACAGGCTGTCACTAAGTTGCCTAGGCTGGCTTCAAACTTATGATCCTCCTGCCTCAACCTCCTAAGTAGCTGGGATTATAGATGTGTGCCAGTACAACCAGCTGAAAACATATTTTTAATGATACAAGTACTGTCCCTCACCCAGCCTCACATGAATCCTCTGTTCCAAACATCTCAGGACCCCATTCTTGACAAAGTCCATCAAGAAGCAGGTTTGAGAGCAGGAAAGAAGAATGGTAATAGGAAATGTTCAGGGAGAAAAAGGAATCGATAGATTTGGCTGGTTGTCTGAGTTCTTGATGCTGTTGATAAAAATGGCCAAACCTTCAGTGTGTGAAGATCAGAGCCCAAAAGAAATGGAGTGTTTTCCTACCTAGCTCATCCACTTATCACCATCAGATATCAAGGGCTAATATACCCTGTTCATCTTTAGGAGGATGCAAGGCTGTCCGGTAGAGTATCCAAAAGTTGGGTCCTCCAGACCAGAGCAGTTCTTCAGGAAGGAGCGCTTAAATTGGCAGGCCTTCTTGTCCTCATCGTCACTGCCATCTTGGATGAAGTACTGCCCCGGGGGACAGTCTACATTCATTTCCTCTTGAAGACTGTCATTATAACCTGAAGCATGTGTGGGTGGCAAACGTCACGTTAGAAGGGGTGCTACAAAGGAAGGCCATGCTTCCAATAGCCCTCTTTCCCCGATTTCCCCCCTCCAGCTTGCTTGTATACATCTGAAAGCCCCAGTCTACCCAAAACTCCTGACCTGCCATTAGGTGCCAAGGATTTTCATCTGTCCAGGAGCCTTTCCTGGTCAGTCATTGTAACCCCACTTGGTTGCCTACCTCTTGCTTGTCCATCCCTCAGAACTTCTAGATAGCCATCTCTGGGCCATGAGCTGGCCACCTTATTTTTTTCTATTTTCCATTGTTCCTTCTCACATATGATAAACTGTAAATCTGGAATGCTGTCCCTTCTACTTTGGAACAAGAATAGGCATATAGTAGATTTTGGAAGTTGGACTGAATCACATGAAGGCATGGCATATATTAGGAAGCTAAATTTCTAGGTTAAATCTCCTTAAGTTCAATTCATCTTCTTCTGAGGTCAACAGAGGCACTAGGTGTAACAGAGTATGAAGTATGTGTTGTGGGATAGAAGGAAAGTGAAAGAATGGCAGAAGTAGGAAGTAGTGGAGGAGAAAGAAAACGAAATAAAACAGGTCCTTATCCTTTACAGAGGGAAGTTAGCACTCTGAAGTTAACATTCTGAAGTTAGCACGGGAAAGTAGGGAAGAAGATTGAAAGACAGAAACAGATGACAACTACAGGGTCTCCACTAAGAGGAATGAGATTCTCTCTACTGAGACCTGAGATTCCCTTTCCATTGGATGGAGTGTAAGGGGTATCCCAGGTACACACATTAGGGAGAGAGCTGCAAAGGGCACTCTGTGTTTTACTCTTGAGCTACTAGATGCTTTAAAAAATGGGCTCTGGGGCCGGGGATTTAGCTCAGTGGTGCTGCCACCTGCCTCACAAGTGCAAGGTCTCGAGTTTGAAACCCAGTACCAATAAATAAATAAATATGAAATAAATAAAATAGTGTTAGTCAAAAAGTGGGCTCTGTAAATTATTGCATTATTTCCAATTTGGTTCCAAACGATGGAGTGCAATTAATATCGTTAGATCCAGTCCCCATGCATTCATGTTTGAAGTAGCTCAGTTTTTCAGAGGAGACTGTACCAGAGGTAAAATTCAAAATGTACTGTTGGATGCATGTCTACACAGATTGTGACCTGGGTGTGATATTTTGAAGAGACAACTCGTAATTTTAAATCCTATTCCAACTGGCTGTGCCCTATCTTTCCTTTGACAAAACTACATTCAATTCAAGTCTTTGTTATAAACTTTTTTTTAAGAACAAGAGCTATGCTCACATAAGTTTCTAAATAGAAGCCGCAGTCATGTGCTTATTGTTTCTCTTGAGGTAGTCCCTTAAAAATAATGTGACATGGGTATGACGCTTATTGCAAAATCGCAGCCCTCGTGGGAGTGAAACTGATACTCTGGGATGTCTATTTGAGAGATGTGTTCCTTTTTAGCAGGACACATTGTCTACACTTAGGTATTTTTTAACCCAAGACTTTTGTAATATCCCCTGATTCTATCATTAGGTCAGAATTGGTATTTCTTTATCTACTTGCTTTTCAGGGGGATTTCCTCAGCAGAGATTTTGGCAATGTACATATTTGCAACAGTTTATAGGCATTTCAAAAGAAAATAAGAGATCGTATTGACTCTTATGCCTCCAAAATTTTTGTGGTCAAAAATGGAAATACACAGATTCAGAAAAAACCCAGCCCCTCTCATTCTACAGGTGAGGGATCTGGGACTCAGTTTTACCCAGAACAACACTGAGCATTACTGCTATAAAGCTGAGTTTCTAACTCCTGGTCAGATGGCAATAGCACAGAGTTATTAAAAACAGCACTTCTTAAACTTTAAAGTTCATACAGATCACCTGTAATTTTTGTCAAAATGCAGATTCTGATTCAATACCTCTGTAGTGGGGCCTGGGATTCTGTCTTTGCTGCAGGTTCCTGGATAACACTTTTGTATAACAAGGTCATCAAAACATCCAGTTCAAGTACTGCTTCTGCTGCTAGAGTTTTAATCAAGTTACTTTCCCCTTTTGAACTTGAATTCCCTCAGTTTGTAAAATGAGGACAATGGATTCTGTTATGAAGGGTTAAAGCTGAGTGACAAACTTTACACATTTAAATAACACTTCCTGGCACATGATAGGAAATAATTACTCCTCTAAATCAGTGTGCATTCCACTAGCTATCTCTATGCCCCTACTTCAGCCAGGGCTGGGCAGCAAATTAGTACGAACTGCATTTTCCCCAACAAAATAAAGTGCAGCAAATGCAAACCCCACTCAGGTTTCTATTTTTAGTTTTTTTGTGTGTGTGTGTGTGAGGGGGTATGGGTACCGGGGATCAAGCTCAGGTCCTTGTGTGTGTGAGGTAGGCAGTGGAATCACTGAGCTAAATCCCTGGCCCCAGGTTTATCTTTGATAGCTGGAAAATACAGAACCTGTATGTTCTGCGTTTAACCTTAACCAACCTGCTACTACCTCCCCTTTTACTGTGTGGAAGGGTCTCCCACAAATCCACTGTGTTCTTGAAAAGGTATCTTCAAAATATATGAGATCAAAATGTTGGAGTGATGCCATCCAGAGGTTATTCCTCTCACTCCTTTCTGGATTTCTGTTAAATAAAGATACTGTTTTCTTTCTTCACAATGTCCAATTTCCAAAAAATGAATTCTCTTCCTTTGAGACAGTATAGGAGATAGAAATCTTCCAGCTCTGGAGAACATTCTCACCACTATCACCCTCCAGAATATTCTTTTATTAGGGATCACCATTGAGCCACCTAAATGTGCTTAGGATTTATCTATGTGCTGCAGGGTGTTCATGAAGAGAAAATAAGTTGTCTGCTGCAAAGAAGTTGCTGTCTTGTTGCAGAGTTGGCTTGTGTACTTTCACAGTAACATGCAATCACACACTAGAGCATTTTGGATTGGATGAAAGGTGCTAAGGGGGATGCAAAATAAGGAAAGACCATGGTAGGTTGAGGTCACTAGGACTAGGACTTTTGGGCCAGGTGAAGTTTGAATTCCCACCCATTGCTCTTCAGAGGAACTTACCTTGGAGAAAGCCATTTAGGCTAATCACATAATGCTGCCAAGTGTCAGGTTCAGAAATGTTGAAGTTGAAGTTAAGGCTATGGGCGAAGGGTCTGATCATAACTCCTGGCAATGAAAACAGGATTTGGATATATTAACCCATTCTTGGATAATTTTTCCATTGATTCCCCTGAAACCATTTCCCCACAGATGATCAAAAATGAAAAGGACCATAATTTGCCAAGTACCATTTTACTTTTACCCTTAATAAATGAATCTCTATGTTATTACCGGAAAGAACCAAAGTTAATTGAGGCTGAACATGCTGTGCAAGTAGATTTCTGTCTAGCAAGTTCTGACAACATAGGCCATTTGGACACACTCACCAGGAGTCTTCACCCGCTCAGTGAAGGTGGGCATGTAAGGGCTGATGGTCAGAAATAGCATATACATGCAGAGAGTGATCACAGCAGCCAAAGAAGCATAGAAGAAGAAGTAAATGAATAAAATCAGGCCTGCAGAGCAATCAAAGATGATGGTGGTCAGTGCCTGCAAACAAGCCCTGCCTCCCCACTTGAATTCTTGAACCAGAACCAACTCAAACACAAGATAGATCTTTTTCATCCCCCAGATTCAGTATGTCCTTGCTGATTGAGATTTCACCAATCGGGAATTGGTGAAGATCGTGTCAGGGGTCTGATTGCAGTTTATCCTTATGGCATCTGCACTGGAATGGCTTGCTGAGCACATGATGATCATGAACGAGACTACAGGAGAGTGCAGTTTAAAGTACTGCAGAGGGCAAATTGCTTGAGAGTCCTCTGGGCAACAGCTGATGTCCTAAGTACAAATTATTCTTCACTATTCATTAAAGCAGGTGCCCTGAAGAGTCCTAGCAGCTTGGTTCCAGTGATTATATGTATTTGCAAGTAGTACAAACAGCATAGTCTATAATTCAAATTTTGATTAATTTCCACTGGACTTGCCTCTAATCAAGGCAAAGTAAGGTTTTTATCCTCCCTCTTTCAAATCATACTAATCTCCAGCAAAATGTAAGTGGTTCTGCTTTTTACAAAGAGCACTAACACAGGGTGGCGAGGGGAGGAGGAGAAAATGGTACTTAATCATGGACACTTGCTGTCCGTGAACTTGGGCAAGTTTACAGAACCTTTCTATGCCCCTGATTCAGCACAGGTAGGGGAATGATACTTTTAGTAACTACCTCATGGCTATATCCTTAATGATATCTGGAATTCAGACTTTTCTTACACCCTATTTTGAGTATACGACTTTATAGCGGTTTAATCCTCCACACACTGTTCACTTCACTGGGCCTCAATTTCCTTACAGGGAAAATCATAATAACAGTACTGTACTCCTTACCATTAAATAATGAATATAATCAACATTATATAGAGCCGGGAAGATATTTAGCATTGTATAAATAGCAGGCATCATCATCATTATTATTGCTACAGGACCAACTGAATAGTGAGCTAGGAACTAGACAAACTACATAACTTTGCTGTACTCAGAACTAAATTCAGTCATTAAGTTTTCAATTAAAATATGAACCAAATAAATACGATCAAAAAGGTGTGTGTTGGGGGGAACCTGCTGTAACCCAACTGGAAATGGAACTATGTTTTATGAGATGAACTAAAGCAGACCTGGAACATGAACATAATTCAGTCGGGGTTCCTGGAGAAGAAGCAACAGTGCCTGTGTGCCTGTGCTACTTGGCTATTGTGCCCTGGCTATCCTAATGAGATGCACCCCGTGCTTTGTCCTCCATGCATCCACCCTCAACTCCATCCTGGGAATAGGCCAACAGTTGAAGCCATCCCAGGGAACCAAAAAATTCAGTGTCATGCATGAATAGAAAGCAGTGGAACACAAGTATATTCCCTTGGCAATATCCCCCCCCACAAGATGGATGGCCAGGAAGTTATAGATAGAAGAATAGCACTACCAGTAAGTTCCTTGAGCCTCACTGAGGAGGGGTTCCGTGGAGTCCATGATAGTCTATCTACTCCCACCCCAGGGAAAAAGGTGTGGCCTCCATCTGAACCCATTGATCCCTCCAAACCCTTTCTGCTCCAGATGTTATTTTTCTTGGGCCCCTCCTATAGTGAAAGTAGGGTTCTCTCCTGAATGCCCCACCCAGCCTTGGAGAGAACACTAAGTACCCATGCTCCCAATGATTTGCTCCTCCCACCAAAACAGCCCATCTGGTCTTGAGGCTCAACCCATGAGGGCCATAATCATTGTTGGAATTCATGAAGATGACACACTGTCCCTGGCAAAAGAATGGACTTTGGTGTTTGAATTCCAGCACTGCCACTTAGTTACTGTGTGACTTTAGACAAGTTACTTACCCTCTCTAAGCCTCAGTTTCTGCATCTGTAAAATGGGGATAATAATATTACTACCTCATATGGTTCTTGTCAGCACCCAATAAAATAATATACAGTTCCTAAGAACGGGGGTTGCCCAGCTACAAAAGGTAAAGCCCAGAGTGTAGTAATAGGCTGGGTGAATATGTTGGACATGCTGATGTCTAGGTTGGGACAGAATTAGTAATGCTCAAGTAGGCTTCTAGCCATCAGGAAAGACGGCAGCCTGGGAATTAATATTACTGCTTGCCCTTTGGCAAGGGGTAGCTCAACAGAAGCCTAAATTGCTGGGCCTTCCACAGAATTGTTACCCAGTGATTGGACTATGACCTTTCATGCAACTGTCTCTGCTGCCATATCTTCCCCACCTACTTGAAACTTCCTTTCTCGCCTCCACTTGTTGGTCTATAGATTGTTCTCTACAGGAGCAACTTAGATCAGCTCAGCTGGTGAAGTTCCAATGGCTGGCCATTTAGGGGTTAATGCACGGTTCCTCACCCCAGAATCATGCTTTTATTTCACAAGGCCTGTTTTTGCAGTCTTCTTTAGGCAATGGAGAAACAGCTGTGTTCCTTTTGGAGCCCTAGCGAGTATCCAACATTTGTCTGCAGCTTCAAGAATGTCAGAATATCCTTTAAATGGTACATTCGTTCCAGTTGAGAGTTTAGGGGATGGGGAGGGGTGGGACTGGGAGCAGAGGAGGGGTGATAGGGGATGGAAGTAGTTCAGAGTCCTGCACCTGCTATTCCTGATTCCAGGAAGCAGGGCTAGATGCTTCACCCTCACTGAGCTGCCTTAGTAACATTAATTAGGAAGGAGAGAATTATCAGCTAAAAGGGCCTTTGGAAGGCATGGCCATCAACTTCAGCAACCTATATCCATGGCATCTTCTATTTTTCTCTCCTCTTATGGATGGAGTGCCAAACTAGGAGCTGTTCTTTGTTCTGGGCTGTGTAGAGTGTGGCGAGTGTAAACTCTGCTATGGATAAAACCTAAAAAGGCCCAGCAGTCATAGTTTAAGGAGTGGGCAGGATCCTAGGAAATGGGTGTTATGGAGGTTGTGAGTTAAAACACATGGAGGTGTCAGCAAATGGAATAAAAAGGAGAAGCTAAGGAATAAATTCTGCCACTGATCAAGCAACATAGAGGCCCAGTCTTAATCTCTGGTAATTATTCCCTTAAACCTAACTCCCCTGTGTCTACATGGGAGAATTAAAGCATTCATGAAGCTGAGGCCAGGGGCAGGCCTTTTGGTGCTCCTTCTCTGACATTACTATGTGAAGAGATTAGGCTTTATCAGGTTATCAGGAACTTGGATCTCATCCTAGACATAGTCTTCTGTGTAGTATTTTTTTTTCTAGGATTGAACCCAAGGCCTTCTCACTGAGCCACATTCCCAGTACTTTTTTTGCTAGGATTAGTGCCCTCAACTTTATAATTTTAATACTGGAGTGTGATACTGATCCTGTGAGACAGGCAAGGCCGGCACTGTTTCCCTCATTTGGCAGGTGGGCAGACTGAGACTAACAGAAGGTAAATGATAAGCCTGAAAGTCACATGGACAGAAGGTGACAAGGGCTGGGACTTTGAAAAAAAAAATCCTGTCTTTTGAATTCATTATCCCTGTCTCTTTGCATTGCATAATGAGCCCAGTGGCTTTCAAGTTTGTTCATCTGTTTATTGAGTTTGTTCTGAGAAATCTGTCCATAGGCCAGGCATTTCTCTAGGCATTGGCGCCTTTACATGAAATGTTAAGAGAAGTTTTCAACCAGTGTATGGTAAAGGATCCCTGGACACCATGCCAAAAAGTAAAGGACACCAGACTGAGGCATTGGGACGAATAGGACTTACTCCAACTCTGACCTGTTTGGGCCAGAGACATCCTTCTCTCCGGATCCCACAGGTATTCAATCATGATCTGTAATTTCTGCCACCAGGCATTGCCTGTCATCTTGCCCTGACTCCTTTCCTCCTCCTCTTTCTCTCCCTCTTCTTCCTCCAAATCAGGCACCACCATCACCCGAGCCTCTTCTTCTGCTTCTTCCTCTTCATCTGCTAAGTAGTTTTGATTCACTTCATCCTGATCATCCTGGAACAGTGACAGAACACAATCCTCTTTTTGAAAAAAATTCCCAATGGCACACTCCACCAACCAAAAATAAATGGAAACAACTCAATATTTCAATATTTGGAGATGCTTCAAATTTCCACCTCTTCATACACATACTCATTGTTAGGAGAGGTGGATTTTCTTTCTTTTTTTGAGGAAATATCCTTTCTATGAGACCAATACTGTATCAGTATTCTTTTCATAGAGACACAAATTTTATTCTCAGCTTCTGGTATTTGGGCTCTTCTGCTAGGACCTCTCTTGTCACTACTCTGTGCTGAGACTTTAGCCTTCCACTTAACTTGACCTGTCAATGCAGAGTTGAGAAGTTGGGGTAGTCTTGGACATTTATATGTATGATTGCAAATTCTCAGTCCAAGCCTGCTTTCTTCTAACTCATTGTACACATTCAGTTGCTCGACCTCACCATCCAAAATTGTGCCTAAAAAGAGTCTAGGATGAGTACTGGAGAGAAAGGCCAACTATTGTACTCCTTCTCAATACATAGACTACTTTCCTGGCAGAAGCAAGAGATGGGGGTTTATTTTCTGCTTCTTTACTACTTCCATAGCTGGAACCCCTTCTTGCCTTAAGCTGGATGGACAGAGGACTCCAACTAGTCCTTCCTTAATTTCCCCTGTGCCCTAGGCAAAAAGCTGGGCATATAGTAAGTGCTCAGCATGCATTTGTTGATTGACTGATATCAGCTATTACTTGAGATTTAAAACTGTAATCTTCTCTGAGTGGTTCTAAGAAAATTAAAGAAAAAAGAAAGGAAAAAGAAAAATTCAGACTTCAAGTGGTATTTTAAAAGCCCCCCAAACACAGGCTGGAGGTCTGTTGTATCTTTGCTCTTTAGGGGTTTGCCAAGGTTCACAGCCCCAGCAGGAAAAAAAAAAAAGGCCACGCTCTGTTCTCTCTGCTGTCCAAGTCTGAAGAGTGGTGGGGCTTGTGCACCTGTTAGGGTTAGATATGGCAAATGTTCAATGCCAAAGGCTCCTTGTTGTCCCCTTCCTGCCTGGTTACTCAAAGGCCACTTAGAGGGCACACTGATAAAAAAAATGCTGCCATTGGTAGGGCATGCATGAAATTGGAATGTTCAGATACAGAATAACAAAGCTCTACTCTCACCATTCAGTCTGCTTAGCACTATGTAGCTCTTGATTATAGGCACACTTGGATTGCTCTCTAATTTGTTTAAATGAACAGCTGTACATCACACACACTGTAGTAGTAGAACTGACAGGAACATCCGAGATTTGTTTTTCCATATGAGGCTCAGAGAGGGGAAAGGATCTAGCCAAAGCCATGCAGCAAATTCATGACATAACTGACAGCCTCAGAACATGTCTTTTGGTACTCTGGACAATGAAGTTTGTCCTTCATTACATTGAGCCCAAGTGCCTAGAGGTGTCTTAGGAAATTTATGAAGTACAATAACATCTTTTTTTTTCTTTTTGGTTTTTTGAGACAGGGTCTTACTATGTAGTTGGAACTCATAGTTCCATAGTGTAGTTGGAACTCACTGTGTAGCCCAGGCTGGTCTCAAACTCACAGCGATCCTCCTGCCTCAGCCTCGCGAGTGCTGGGATTATAGGTGTGCACCACCATGCCTGGCCATAACACAATAACATCTTAACTTCTGTGTTCCCAAGAGATTGTAGGTATTTATAATCTAAGATTTCTTTTTACTCTGATATGGACCTGCAGTGTAAGGCTTAGAAAAATAAACCTCATCTCTCATTCAATGTTAAATGGATGAATACATATTCTTAAATCTCTTTAACATTTTTGTGAGCCTATGTACATATTTGACCTCCCAAACTATGCTTTGAGCACCCAGTGGAAGAGTCTATCTTGTTTAGCCTCTTGTTGATCATTAGTGTGAAGCCCATAGCTAAGTATCCAGTGGCTACTAACCAAATATCAATGATATCTTCCTGAGTTAAAAAAACCTTATGTAGGACTCTGAGGAAATGTGTCATAGAGCTTGTCACTTTAGCCTTAGCAGTCACGTGCACTAGAGTGGGCAGTCTTCATGGCCCATAAAGAATCTATTGCATTTGAGAATCTCAGATAATTTGAAATGTATCTATTCATCATGGAGGAATTTATATTTCCTCTGTATTTTCTGAACAGCTTCCTTTTCTCTCTTGTTGCTTTGGCCTGCTTTCCACCTCTGCTCTGCAGGTTGGCCATGGCCTTAGCCTGATCTTATTTGTAGATATGTGCTCTCATGATAATCCAATTAAAAATGGCATGTCATTAAAGTCTTAATCTCCTGGGAAGAATTAATCTTCCCAGAGCTAATTTCTTCTCACAGATCTTATACCACCGGAGCCTTACTTCAGGAACCTCAAATAGCCTTTTTCTTCTTCCTTGATTCCAGGGATAGGGGAATAACACATTGTGCAAGAGAGGCCTTCCCTGAAAGTTTCTTACCAACTAAATCCATGTAAAATGCACTTTCACACAACTACTTAACAAAATCTACTAGGAATCCTTTGGTGATGAGAATGCATATCCCCAAGGCTCTGTTTTTGTCAGTTTCCTCATGTGACAGTGTGTGTGACTGTGCTGGAATATGGCAGTGGGTGTGAGTTGGGGCCATAATGTTTCCCTAAAAGGGGAGTCTGAAGGACAGGGGGTGGCTCCATTTGGAGTAATCTAAATATATAAACATTTAAACAAACACTGTGACCCAAAGGATAAGTCGTGCCCTACATAAAACAATATCTTGTAAACATTCGAGTGGTTGGTTAATTTTAAAAAGAGAAATTAAGTATATAATTATATCAAATAAATTTTAAAATTTGATCAAGTTTTATAAAGAGCAAGATCCTCTGATGCATTTAAGATCAAACTACTTGACAAATAACTGAAATTGTGCACAACACTTTATCAACAGTCCATAAAAAAGAAGCTAAGTGAGGAATAGTTATATTTGTCCTACCAACCGTGACTGCTCTGAGTGCTGGAAAGGACTTTGGGAATGTCAAAAGAAAGACTCTACAAATTGTGTCTAGAAATCTAAAAGAAGCCTTCAGTAGTTGACATGGGGTTAGGAAAATTCGTATTTTCTTTTTGTGTTTGACAGTCTTCACTTAATTCCCTGGTTATATAAGTGGCCATATCCAAAGAAAAATAGATTATTCTGTTTTCCCTTAGATTGCAGCCCTCTCTGTGAATACCTCCCAATACTACTGTGTATGACATATACTAATGATTTATAGCAAAGAAAATGTAATGAAATTTTTGGATCCAATAACACACCCAGGGGATGAATAGTGACACCAAAGGTGTGTGTATGTGGGGTCCATGTTGTGTTAGGCTGTGTGAGGTGGTGGACAAGGTGGTAAAGTGGGTGGTGGTTTACCAGGGGATGAGGGAGTTCATACTGCGAATATGATGGAAAAAACACAAGGTTAGAAATGAGGGGACTTGCCTAAGTGAAATAAATAAGTCCCACATGTGTAAATACCGAATAGTTTCCCTGGTGTGAATATTCTGCAACAATGCATAAGATTCTAATAAGATTACTGACATCTAGAAATGGGAGGAAAGGAGCTAAAGATGTAGGGAAGGTGTGATACGTAGGGGAAGAACAAAAAGGGAAAAGAAAAAAATGTGAGAGAATGAGAAGATGAAAATAAAGTGTTTGTAGATGGGGAGGGGAGGAGGGGGTGAAGGGAGGGCAGAGGTAAGGGGAAAAAAATGAGAATCAAGACTTGCCATGTAAAGGTACATGATCCCAACAATAAATGTAACTGTACTGTATCCCTAAATGTACCAATAAACTCAATAAAAAAAAAAAAAAAAAAAAAAAAAAAGAAATGAGGGGACTTGCATTCTCACTTTTGCTCCTACCCTAACTGGCAAGGCACTTCAGTGACTGAGCCCAAGCAGCCTTCTTTGCATAATGAGGGGTTCTGGAGTGATGATGCCTAGGAGTCCTCCCAGCTCCTACCAAGGAGACTGTGATTTTAGCTACAGCTTTAGATTTCTGCTTTAGAAAAAGAGCAGCTGGGTTCCAAGAAGCTACCATCCAAAGAGACTGAAACAACTGGCTAGGCAGTCCCTTTCATTTCCTTTTCCTCTTCACTTCTCTCTTGGCTAAAGTTCTGGCTAGTAGAATGAAACCTCTACCCCCAGCTTCTAAAAGATCTGTGCAATTTCTAGGCCCCAAAGAAAGAAAAATATTCTCTGATATCTTCCCCTTCCCTTCTCTTTGTTCCAAAGGAAAGAGAACCTCCTCCCTCCATTCAGCAATTTAAAGTGCTAAGGATGTAGGAGGACTGGGAGTCAGGGTTCCTTCTTGAAATCCTGGGTTTCCCTAAGCTTCACTGTTTCTGCTCATCCCAAGGAGAGACAGCCATATGCCACTGTCTACACAGCCCCCAACCCACCCCATTAAAAAGGGGAAGCAAAATATTCTGCTCCCTGGGACTCACAAGTCTGTGGCGATAACCGTAAGGAAAGGCTGGAGCCCTCCTGGACCGGAGTTGCCTTCTCATGGCTGTTCAGTGGGCAAAGACGCTGCTGAGGCAGCAAGTAGGTGACTTCTGGAGCTTCTGATGGTACAGGAGACACTGGTTACTGGGAATGCTTGGCGCCTGGTAAAAGTGAACTCTCCTGGCATGAGCCCTTCCTCAAAATAATTTAACATGCCCCTTTCTCATTGGTTGGCCCCTTCCCTGAATCAAAGGAAAGCCCTTATGGAAAAGCAAGCTCATCATTACAGGGAGGGGGAAATATTCTGGGTCACGAGGATGAGCGACTCACCCCACCCTTCTTCGTGTGTCTTTCCACCCCTTGCCCTTCTCCAGAGCCTGAGATACAATGGGCCCAATGGAAATCTTAAGTCATATTCTTCTCTACTGAGAGTTGGATATCAGTATATGCAAGGGGCGGGACGTGGGTGGGAGTTGGGGGGTGAGGGGAGATGGCCAAGAATAACTTGCTTTTTTCATAAGGCTGATCTCATGCAAAAGGATCTAGGGTGTCAGGAAAAGCTCCCTTTGCTTTCCCCATCCCCCCCCCACTAAGCCACCTACAATATTCCTTATCTGTGTCAACTCCTGAGCACCTTAGAATATTGAATGTGCCTTCTAATTTTAAAGGCAAGGTTCTTGTCTTACACTTCCCTGCTCCAAAGAGAGTTGTGGCCATAAAGAAACCTTTTCCTAGCCCACATGTCAGAGTGGCCCCATAACTCACACTGCCCCTCATACACACACCCCTTGGAAACCCGGCCAAATTTCTGCAGTGGTTGAGATCTATATTTATCCCTTAGTGTCAGAGCAGAGAACAGGCCAGAACTTTGCAGTGTCAGTTTCCCAGACATATATAACTCCCGAGGCCAATAAAAGGATTCAACAGAAGAAAAATTAGTAGAAATAGTTTAAAACATCATATTGCAGTTTGGTTCTGTTTGGTCCACTCCACTGGGGCCTGGATAACTAAAAGGCCTGGATATAGTTTGTGATCCTTTTTTTCCAAATCACTTCCCCCTCCATTACACCCAGGTAGCTGAGCATATTGCAGAAACTGAGGTTCTGGACAATACACATAACTAAGAAAAGCAACATAATTACTCAGATTTAATCATAACGACAACTCTAGGATATTCTTATCACAATGGCTTCAATTATGGTTACTTTAAAATAAGGACTTCAGTTCCTATAATGTCACTAATCTGGACTCCTCCTTAACAGAATCTCTCCCCAAACTCTTCTTTGAAGAGAAAGAAGTCACTTATAAAAAAGTGAAGCTCACTCATCCTCTTCTTTGGATTTTAAAGAAAGGAAAATATATCCCAGGGCGTACTTGGTCTAGGTAGATGTTGAGGTCCGTGTCTACACCATCTCTGCTCCAGTGTTTTATATGATTCCGGATGTTAAATATAAGAATTGTGAGGCCCGCGGAAGACTCAAAACCAACCAAAGGATACACTAACTGGTCTTGTCTTACTAAGGCAGAAAAGACAGCATGGTCATTTTAGCAACATTTCAAGTACCAAGAGTAGGGGAACTAAAGACACCCTGGAGTGACATGACTTTTGGTAACACAATATCCACTCTCTGGAATGTCTCTTTCCCTTACATTTTGGGAATGGATGGCTTGACATGTATTTAGCATATTTGCAGTGTGTTTTGACTATAGTCTAGGCTGTCTTCTGGAATGTCAGTTGTTGGGTTGGATAAAAGAACCAAATCTCACAGAATGCAAAGACAAAAATCTGTATAAGTTCATGCTAAAAAAAAAACCTTAGTTAAAGGAGAAACCATTCCTGTTAATTTTGAAAAACAAAAAAGCAAGGGCCAGGGATGGCCCCAAGCATACCTGGCAAGCACAAGGTCCTGAGTTCGATTCCCAGTACCAGAAAAAAGAAAGAAAGAAAGAAAGAAAGAAAGAAAGAAAGAAAGAAAGAAAGAAAGAAAGAGAAAGAAAGAAAGAAAGATCAAGCAAGCAATATGTTTAGCAGTGCAGTAGAATGGAGCCAGAAGAGGCCAATGAGGCTGAAAATGGAGCAGTGGCTATGAAGGCAAGAGGGGAGGGAGAAAAAAGAGGCTTTGAATATGTCAGTAGATTCAAATGCAAATTATCCAAGCGTAAAACTACATGTCCATGCAAGTGTTAGCAGCTGCTTTTATAAGTCCTTTGTCTGTCTTGGTTGCCTGCTGTGGTAAAATCATGCAGTTGCTAGAAAAATGGCAGCCAGAAACAGGAACAATCTTATGGACTGTTTGTGTCCTTCTGTTCCCAATGGAAGAAGAGATGGTAGAACCCTTCAGAGAATCTTTGACTTTAACATCAGATGGGCTAGTTCATGGCATCTCTTCTTGTTGGCTATTTCTAAAAATGTGTGTGTGTACAGAGGTAGTGTGATCTAGAGCCGTCAAAGAGTAGTTGTGAACTTTCCCTGCTCAGAGATTGGCTGGATTCTCAGGGAGATTTTGAAAAGTCACATGCAGTAAGGCTTAAGAGTTGTTTACTTTTGAAATCTATAAGCTCTGTTGAGCACTCTCTAGAACCACAGTGACTTCCAGCAATAGTGACCTATAGATTCTGAAGTCACTGGGCCTAAGGCTGCCCGTAAATGTTGCCCAGCAAAGGGTGTCCTTTTCACAGTGCATGGAGGAGGGAGAACTCACGTGGGGCTACAGTGATCAGGGAAAGCTTCCCAGAATAGGCAGGGTTTTGGCTGGACCTTGAAGGGCAATCCTTCAGGCTGGAACAGCCACTGCTGGACTTTATGATGCCAGTCTGGTCCCTAGTGTTCCAAATTCCCCCTCCAGAACAGCTACCCTATGAGTAGTGTCCAGCAGGTGTAGTCAGCAGGCTTACTGGCCAAAGCCAGAAAGTTTCCTCGACCTGACCAGTCCTAGATAATGGCCTCAGATCTCTGTCTCACTGGGTTTCAGGAAGAACCCTTAGCACATCACATTCCTGACCAGTTTCCATCTGTCAAGTATAGCTGTGCAGTGAGAGATACTTTCATTTCGAGGGACTGAAGGCCATGGGTTTGTGACTGTATAAGACTAGAACCCTTGGGGGAAAAAAATGAAGGCTTGGGAAATTGTGAGGTCCTTGTGGAAATTCAAGCCTATTTCCAGGGGCTAAAAGACACTAATGAGTATAATGCAGGCAAGAGACCTTGGTTCAAACAAACAACTAGTTGGAATTAAGAGAAGATGTGTGCAGAGGCCTGTAATAAATGAATATGCTAATTGGTCTTTTTTGCTAACCTCTTGGGCTTTGGCTGTGACATAGAGTAGCCTATTAGATGCCTGCTCTGTAATAGCTGCTGAAGCTGGAGCCCTTTATTGCCATGGTAACATTGATGTCTAGAGTCTAGCTGAGCCCTGGATCTCTTAATTTACTAGTCAGGCGGCTACAATTCTTTGGGTTTTATTATTCTTTGTGCCCCGGGTGCCAGAGTGGCCATGAATCATGCTTATTCATCCTCTGCACCACCCACAGCGTCTTTGAATAAGTCAGCGTGTCTCTTACTGTGCGTGATGAGCAGATTATTAAGTTAGAGCCTATTTCTGCCTTAGCTAGACTGGTGCCTCTCAGAAACCCAGTGCACCTCTCTCACTGCTTACCTGCTGTCTCAAATGGCTTTTGGCAGGCAGAGTGATGGTACTGCAGAGGACCCAAGGGGTCCAGCCTCCTAGAAGCCTTTGCTTGTTTGGTGGGCAGGGAGGAGCAGCACAGTACAGGAGGGGCAGCATCGACTGGGGGGATGCAAGTTGGAAACACATACCATCAAAATGGAGCAGTCAGAGGGCGAGAAGAGTCTTTGCAAGTCCTGGCTGGGAATCACATGCTAGGAATTTTATTCCTCTAGAATATAGGCTTGGGCTTGTGTGGAAAAAGACATCCTTGTTTTGAGTGATCCCAAAGGAAGGAAGTAACTCCTAAAGGCTGGAAGGTACAGGGGAGATAGATTTTACGTCATTTTATAAGACCTTTGTTTTAAAAAGCTGGTGAGAAAGATCGGCTACCTTGGAAAGTCAGGAAGCAACTGGAGCTGTTCAAACTTTGATATTGCAGGACAGAGATGGTCTAAGCATCCACAGCCAGGGGGTGAGCTATAGGACAGAAGGCTTTCCTAGATGACCTCCTAGTACTCTTCCAACCTTGAAATATTGTGTTTATATATGATGCTTTTTATCAGGACATATGCTAAATTTGGATGGTGCTTTATATGTTGTACTGTACTTGATTCAACAGCACATATGCTAAAATTGGTATGATAATCTGTGTCTCTGTCTTCAGCCATAAATGAAACTTTGCAACAGGGGCAGAGATGTTTTCTTGACCACCAAGTCACTAAGAAATGGGCAACCTGAAGCTAAAGATAAGGTGTTCAGTAGAGCCCCCAATTATAAATGACTCTTCAGAACAGGAGAGTCTTGCAGTTGTTGGTTTTTGCAGTTTGTTTCATTTCACTGCAGCATTTCACTGGGCACTCACATGGGAGTATCAGGACACCATAGAGAAAACCGTGGGCAACACAAATTTTGAGTACATTTACAAGGTCTTTTTCTTGTTTACAGGGATGGCGGGAAGAGATGAGAGGTCTTCTTGAGCCAGCTAGATTCTAAGAGGTAGAGTTTTCCTCTGTGGCAGGCTGGACAGAAAGCTGTAAACCTGAGAACAGTCAAGGTTGCCAAGCACAGAAGGTGCTGTTCAACAACACTGGCCTTTTCCACCAAACTCTACAAACCTGTTTATTATCAAGCACCTGCATTTCCCCGCACTAAGAAATTGATATTAATCCAACCTGAACCCACCCTGGATTCACAGGCACAAGCCAGAAATTAGAGTGTTTCTCAGCTGCCTCCTAAATCAGAGGCAAATGCATAAGCAAGAGCTAAAGGTCTCTCCATAGCAGCCCTTTTCAGTTACTCACTTGCTGTAAGACCACAGGAAAGTGGGTTGACTTCTCTGCTGCACCATCTCACCCCCTACCCTACCGTCACTGAAAGTCCAGTGTCCCTGTTCCCTTACTCTCAGAAATGCTGTGGGCCTGGAACTCTTCCAAAGACAATGGCAAGAGAATTTTGAAGTCAAGTGGAATCATTTCTTA